CTTTGCCCTTCTTGTAAATATTTATCATATCCAGTACATGTTTTTTACATTATAACCTGAATTTCTTTTGAAAAAAACAACACATGTAAAAGTGATTACACTTCTACCTCTCTCTCTTAAAGTAACTAACTAACACTGTCAGCAATAATTATACATTTTGCCTACATCAGTGGCAGTCACTGGTACATATATATATCCTTTGTCTTCATTTCAACAAACTCATAAACGGCAAAACTGTACAGTATTCTAGTAAAAGTGTGATATATACGAGCAGTTGGTATTAACACATTTTGATGCGATGACAAATTGAACATGTGCATAAGTGCATGTAGGTAGATATAGCAGATCACATGTAAACCTTTGGATATGTCATCAGTTCAAATGCACACAGAGTGTACGTTGTATCATATTATGTGTATTTCTAACAGAATATAGTCCTTCAACCACAAACAGAGACAACTGCACAAAGAGAAAATATTACATGAAGTAAAGGGTGATTCAACTACCCAAACTTCATGAATTTTAGATATTCTTTCACTAAAGGAAATCATTGACTAGAGTGATATCACCCTTTTTGTCACGTTAAATTTACATCTTCACAGACATAAATATTTTGACAGAATTTTTAACACTGTCAAAATTTATTGAGAAATCGAATATTTTTTCAGTCTTACAAATTATGGATAAAATATATTTGTAATATCCCACTATGGTAGAAAAACTGATTTCTGACGTTTTGCGACTTCGTGGAAATCGTTTCTTCAGAGAATAAAGTCTATACAAGTTATCGACTGTTTAAACAGTCAATTTAACAAGTATGTTTCATTAATAATCCATTTACCCGATAATCAACTTGTTAAACTCTATCAGGTCAAATCTTGATCACGAAGTTTATAAGACTATAACAAATAACACACTTTAAGTTAAAGTTATGATTAAATGTAGACCTTAATATGCGATAATCCTAGATATCCTAAACGCATATTGAAAAGTCGTGATCTTCAGTTCATCAACTCACTCTAAACATCCACTCTGATTTGTAAATTTTCTCAGAATTGTAAAATTCGTCGTATCTGAGGGAATATGTTACTTTGTCATAGCTTTATTAATTTGGTCGTTTGAAAGATAAAATTTACTATAGATTGTCAGTTACTACGACCAACTTCTACTTTATTCATATATGAAACTAAAGTCAAAGAACAGAAAATCATAACAAGATGTAGTATGGGAAGATAAAGCTATGATTTTCCTGTTGTTGAGTTAATATCGTAATCCATAGCAGATAAACATAAACAAGGCTACACAAAGTATACAACATTACTTTGTTCGTTTGCTTTTGAATTCGAAACAACACTTCAAAACATCAGTTGCAGGTAATGATGAAATCATTCTTAGGTTCTGTTAAGCTGCATGCAACCTTGAAATCTATCCTATCAATTCACTAATTTTCGACCCGTTTTTGTTGACTGCAGTATAATTACTATCTTAACATTGACAGCATCGAGATTCTTCTTGCTCACTCACTTAACACTTTGATCAGACTGGTCTTCATACTATCACGTTAACCTGTGATAGTTTTAAGCGTTGTTGCTTGTATTCCACCAATAATGTATGATAGGTTTATTCATTTCTGGCTTCTTCACAACGTTCACCAACCACAGTTATTAAAACAGAGTAACATTCTAGATTAATGGAATATAACCGTTGTTCTTCTCTTACATCTTCAAAGCCCGTGCTCGCCATCCTAAAACTGTACCGGACACATTATCACTTTACAAGTTTAGTAAGTTGACTATACTTGATGTAGATTAATCATGACTTTTCTAGAAAGCTGTGTCAACCTGAAAAGAAGTTAGGAATTAAAATGACTGACCTCATTTTCTTCCAAAAATGATTTTCCCTTTGAGTTGTTTAACGGCTTAAAGATGGACGAAATGCATGAAAACTAAAATCTTCCGGAAGATATGTAACCCTTATTCACACTTCCAAGATATTTTTCATGTGCCTTTTCCATAGAGGTTTTTTGTGGTTTAAAAACTGTGGGTAACGTTAATGGTTTCAAAAAGGGAGAATACAGTCAAGAAAATGAAATAAAACTGTGAATGACCTGAGAAGTGATCGCAACAATTAATACTGAATTGAAAGGATATAAATGCTCACTGATCTTTTGTTGAATATTTAGAAATACCTTAAGGGAATAAATATTTCTGTTTAGTTAGCCTTCTGTCGGCAGCTTCCTTTTGTATGGTATTTTTAAAGATGCTGCCCAAGATACTAATCTGGTGGCGGGAATTCAGGTTAGCAATTAACTGCAGAATAAGAATAATTATAGATCATAATAATGACTAAGGAAAATGAAAAGTCCTGTTGAATGGTCAATACCTGATTCTATATACGGAAACTATGAAAGTGAGAAGGGAAAATTTATTGGGATAGATCGGGAAAGGCGTCATTTTTTCCTATTTTATGAATACCAGATTAAGTTATTTGGATATTATGGCAATGGTTATAAGCATTTTTCATAAAAATAAGTCTGACTTGTCCAGATAATTTCCACTACCTCTTGGAACAGGAGTGAGATTATTGGTTATACAGTAAAAATTGGGGCTATTCTTCCGCATCAATTTGACTTCCACTACCCACCAGATTTCTTAGTATGGAACGTCTTGTTGATTTCGTCTTCTTTTTACTAAACCGTCATGATGGTGCCAGGCAACTGGTAAACACACAAGGAAGTTATTTTAAGTAGTTTGCCTTCATGTTTTGAATCCCACGTTTGTTTGAAGATGAAAAGTAGCCTTGAAGACCTTCTCGAAGTACTTCTAGAAGGTTGTGTTGTAACAGTATTATTCCAAAACTATGGTTTACGGGACAGCCGTTTCCTGGAGATCATCGGCACTTTGACTTTTTTGCTTACTAGTGTTTTGTCTTACTAGTTTGTGTTGTCGAAACTTCACCAGACGATCATTTCTTAAACACAAAATAATTCAAGGGAATGGAAAACCTTTTCGAAGAATCATTTTCAGCAGCTTTACAATCATATTTATAGTAATAAAAACCAAACAGACTGGTCTATTATTGATCACTAGGTGAACAATGGGTCATCAAAACTGAAGCAGAGGGTCAGTTTAGGGTTAAAACGTGATCACGTAATCAAGTGTGTATCAGAAAAATATGCAGTGGAATAACCTGGTTATGTAGAGCGCCCGAAACGCAGTTCTTATGAACGCATCTATGAGAACTATCATACGTGACTGCCCAGAGGAGAACATAAGTCAAACAATGCTTTCATATTGGATCATTTGGTCAACTTTGGTCATGTCGCTTCACAACAGCCTTCTTCCGAAATCTTATACAAAGCCAACCCAAAAGGCTTGAAAAGAGTATGGAATTGTCATTATGTATAGCAGACTCGTTGTCAATCTGACAATTAAAGCCTGAGGTACCCCATTCCCTTATTTTGCTTTAATCATATTCCTTTCTTGAGTTTCTTTGTAGCTTCATTATTTATTTTACTCCTACTGACTGATTATCATTACTTTTTATTGTAATTTTTACTCGACTGTTTACTTTTCCACATCATAACATGTTAGCTCCAATCTCCTGTTAAGATTCTCACAATACTTAGATTATTGGTTATATCTAGTTTTCTTGACGTGCTTGTTTTCCAACCTATTAGTCATAACGTCAATTTACTGCATACTTTCCACACACTCATTTGGTTACGCAATCCCTTTATAACTCTATAATCGGCCCCCTATTTCTGTTTTGATGACCCAGTCCAAACCTGTTAGCCAATAGTAGACTAATTTATTTGTTTGTTGTTACTATAAATATAATTGTACTGCTGCTGAAAATGACTCTTCGAAAGGAAAATTTTCCTTGCTGAATTATATTCGTTTTTCTTAAATGGATCATGACTAATAGTGAGGTCTTTGTTCTAAATATCATCTGAGCAGGGTACTGTATTCCATCTTAGTCTGTTTGTTAAGAAGTTCACGCAGTGAAACAGTATCAATCAGTGGATATCTAGAAAAAGATTGAGCGAAGAAATATATTTCTTTTCAATTAGGTCTTCATCCTGGGCTCTACACTAATATATAGGTTTACAATTTAATCAAATTACCAATCACGTGGTGTTTCGGAAATAATGGTGTAAATAATCAATAGAGTTACTAAAATAGGAAATATGAATATTGATAGAAACAAGAAGGGGAAGAGGTGCACAAAATAAACTTGGAAGTTACATCATGTTAACGGCCACGGTAATGAAAGTAGTCGAACAAACTTCTTTTGGATACAAAGGCTAGTGGATAACGTTTCGGATATTATTTACTGTCTATCTTTTATCTTGATCAACTAAACATTTCACTAAGCTTCACTCGAATTGTATAGAAGCAAAATGAGAAAATAAGTGTGTTGGCTAACTGACACATCTCGAATTACACTCCTTACAACCTCATCTGCTTACTTTACTATTACGATACCTAGGTAAGTGATAGAATCAGTAATTCTTCCTAAATGATTGAGACAAATCAGTGAACTTCGTTAATTTTGTTCAGTCCGTTCATTAGGTCATCCTTGTTCTTTAGAGCTTCCAATGCATTATTTATTTATAATTTATAAAACTGCAACTAACCACTGATTACTTCGTCAAGGTTATTCCATAATTTTGTAAAGACAAATCAAACAAAGACTGATGTAAATTCGTAGCAAAAATACCTTCAAATCTTCGATAAAACCCGTTCTAAGGTATCCACCTTCACTCAATACAAATATCAGTGAATGATTGGCATGTAAGCTTCATAATGGAGTGAAAGTCAATGTTCTTTGAAATGCAGATACATAACACCAAAGTAATACACAACTACAGTACAGGTGCAATATGTCAAGTAGTTACATTTAATTTTATGCACTACTTTCTGTCCATGATTAGTAAATTTGCAAAGTGTGCATCTACATTTGAATGAATATTTTACGTTTGCGGTAAATGTAACCAAATGGGAGAAACACATATGAACTTTCTTAGTGATGATAACCACAAATCAAAACTTATAACTATTAACAAGAAAAATGAGAGTGACAGTAGCACTGATAAAACTACCTGTATTCGTGAAGAATATCAGTATTCATTATTCATTTGGAGAAGTATTACAAACCATCTGTGAGTAAAATAAAATATTACATTTTCATGTATACACAATATTAACTTTTACGTTAAGCAAAACAGTTCCTTTTAATTGGTTGAATGTTGAACGTTCCTTATTAAATTCCTTGAAAATGTTACGTTGATTGATAAAATTGTCTGGTTTAATGCCTTCATTAAACATAGAATGACATATGCCATTATTATTCTGTTGTATCAGAATATCGCGCCCATCAATGAAGTATCACTAATTTGCTTGTTTGTGTAGAGATGTAGTTCACTCCTAGGTAGAATGATAAACTTTGTCTTCGCCAACCGTTTTTCTTTGTCAGAAGATTGAAACATCATGAAATAAGCATCAAAAATAGCCTCCAAAGTTTGACCTTATTAACTGACAACACTGCGTAGTTCAAGGGAGCTAAAATATCTTCTATGATCTGGGCTGTCATCACTCAGTAGTGTAAGTTAAGATCCTGGAACAAAAAGAATACTTTGTTTATGTGTATTGTTTTTGACTGTCAGTATCAAACTATAAAGAGAGTCCATTTCCAAGATGAAAAGTGATCGAAGTTCGGTACTAGCTGAATACATTATAGCTAGGTTTGAACACAGTAGTGAACAGTAAATGGTAATAAAACGCATATATATATATGTATATTACTGAAGTAAGCTAGGATTTCACATTAGTTCTGACATAGCCCAAACTAACAAACTCTGTCTTGCCACGCGCATTTAAACAACATCCAACTCAGATAAGTTAGAGTTGGTTATTTCTCTTCTGAGGGGAATCCTTTTTTACCGACAAATAATAATATACGAATTTCACAAAGAAATATTTACCTCTGTACAAAAGAAAATACTTGACAGGAATCTGGACTCCAAATTGACCCACTGGTAAGTACTCTTGAGAAAAGTGTATGGAAAGCTCTTCAGAAATCACTGTTCATGTCATTGCTGGAACCAGAATTCCCCTAACGCCCACTGTTGCCTAGCAGTTCAAAAGACTTACTATTGTATCTGGAGAATTCTGTGTCCATATATCAGTTCATTCCTTCTTGTGGAGTAAGTTGCATGAGTCTTTTGGTTCAGTCTTTACCCAGAAGAGTCCCAAAACATTATCTTGCACAGTTGTAAAGACGAGATAAGGCGTCTGTCAGAATTGATATCATCGAACATATCATCAACACTAAACATTCTCTTTCAGAAGGCTCAGTTTTCAAAGTTATTTATAGATAAAAAGGACATCCATCGAAAGCAATACTTCTTCGTATTCTTTGCATCGCAGAGTCCCTTACCACACATTTGGCAAAGCATGACATGCATACATGAAAAAACCTTCCTGCCTTTTCTTGTCTCGTTCTTTTAACATAAGGTCAGCTTTTTGTTCGTTTGGTTTGTATGCTCAGAAATCACTCAGTTTCTCATTCCATTCCCTTCTTACATATTTTATGTTCTTTTATCCTCATATGTTCCTTCAGACCACAGCTGATATGTTGCCATTTTAATCAATGCTTCATCTGAATGATATTTCTGCAGCTTTCGATACAATTTAATTTCTCTTTATCACTCACGGCAGTTTTTGTTTTGCAGTTACTTTGTTATATGCCTAACAAGCTACTGTAGTCTATTAACATACTTAAAATGCTCCCCAAATATTTGTAGGTATTTCTTATTGTGGAGTTTTGCGACCGTAACCTGCAGAAAAAGTCTTTGTTGGTTTGCGTATTCTTCTTATTTCAAGTTTTATTCCATTTTATCTTGTATATCTGACACAAAAACTCAGTCATCTGGTCGTGAAATTCATTTTATACCTCAAATTCAAAAGAAAATTCAGAGTTTATGCTTTTTCCGGAAAGTAGGAAGATCACTTTGCAAATGATTTGCAAATTTCACGATACACAGTGACATTTATCAAAACAGTAGTTTTTCAACCAGCCAGCTGTGATGTGGAAAGTACTCAGCTAAGATCACAATGTGTGATCTCTGATATGAATGTAATAGATTAGTAAAACATACTACTGAGCCACTCGAGTAGTTAGAAACCACATGAGCTGATTTGCAGATTTCGCAGCCAGATCAGAGTGATCTAAACACTAGAGAGCGGTTTCGCTTATCTAAAACTGAGCTCCTTATTTTAACTGAATTTGTCCAGATACGCCACTGATGAGGGCAGCCGCAAACGAGTGAGACGCTTGTCTGAGGTTAAGATCTTTCTAATCTGGTTGGCAGAGAATTCCTCAGATCAACCGCAGTGGTTTCTAACTACTCAAGTTTTTCAGCAGTATGTTTCTCCAGAGAGTCTTACTTTAAAGAACCTGCAAGCCTTTGTCCTTTTGAAAAATTTGTGTAAGGCATGACTTATATGGATATATGATAAAGTAAATTAGGGCATGTATTAGGTTGCTAACTGACTGAGTTTTGAATTCATAACTATGAAATTTGGACAGAAATCAAAAACATTTGAAGAGTAATCGAGGAAACCTTATCCTAAAAGTCCAGATGACTGGTCTTTCAGAATTTCAGAGACGCCATTCACTTTATTAGTTTGAACAGTTTAGTTAAGAGTTTATTTAAACAGCAACGAATTTTTTTCGATTCATTTCATTTTGACCGTTCATATTTACTTGTCAAGGTTGAAGGACAACAAATGATTATGATAGTAGCGAATATATGACTAAGAAAGGAAATTAAAAATTTTGACGTAATCTTGGCAGGAAATTAAGATAATCTTCCCTCAGGTTAGTTAAGTATAAACATAGATTGTATTCGGACACATGAAAAAAACACGTAAATTTCTTTATGCCCACTAAGCATAAAGAAATTTACGTGTTTTTTGCAAAGTTGTCTTTACTATTAACGAATTCCATACAAAACTTTAAACGTCAATTGAAGATCAGTCCAACATTTTTGACAATTTTTTGATGAGAATGATCATCGTTGTAGAAGCAGGTTATCGAAATGATGAATTGTGTCAAAGGGAATTCCGGTTACTTAAATAGTTTGGTCACGTGACAAGATACCAGAGTGATGAGTGGATTGTGACAACGATTATCATTATAAATAAATAAACGAAATAATAAAAATATTAATCTTATACCTAAACAGTCTGTGACAGAAAGCAAACAAACGTGTTCATACAGCAGTAACATTGGTGATCGCTTACGCTTAAATACATTTAACTTCCTAAGTTTCCGCTTCCAAAAGTAGAATTGATACCTCCCACCACTTCAGGATACAGTGGGTCATTCTCATTGAATTTCCTTCATCTTATCAACAGGAATCTTTATCGTCTCTCAAAAAGATTAGGTGCATCAGGCCTAGATGTTTAGAAGTTTGCATAACAATTGTAGCGGAGATCCATTTCTTCTTAATTTCGATGTTTGTTCTCAATATGTGCAGATATCAAGTTTAAAAAACTATAATAAACCTAGTGAATGTCCAAATTTACTGAGTTCTTCATCCCTTTCAGGGGTTTCCAGAAACATCATCTCCGATTAAGGCTCAAAGTGAAAAACTTTTTATTTTCACTTAATTTTATATTGATTTTCTCTGCTTTTATCTTTATAGTTTTTCTTGATAATCTCGAAGGAGTTTTTATTCTTGTTCCATGAAGGTTTAAGCAATCTAATTTCAGATGTAACCATTCTTAAGAGTGAAGTGAAGTCTATGAAGAGCCTCCAAACCAATCAACTTTTATAAGTTATCGAAAAATTTTATTGAAATGCGAATCTTGAGTACTTCGTGTGATTTTATCTCCAGGTTTTTCTACACCTCAGTTACTTCTCTCCTACATCTTGCAGGAGCTAGTCGCATTTACCATTAATTGTTTGAGATTTCTTGAGTTTTGTGTAAGATTTGGAGGACATTTGTCAGCATTAGGACTGTTCGTCTTCAGAGCACTACGTTTACGTAATGCTTAACATAGGTCTCGCTGACTAGCAGAGGAATCCAAGATGCGTGTTTCATCAGTCCAGCTAACCAGTCCGAAACAGGATGAACAGCGTGTCCTCGGTTTCTCTGCAAGTCACCAAGATCAATACAATGTCATGAATATTCAGCAGTATTAAGGCATCCGGATAGGAGCCTATTTGCCAACAGAGGTTGAGCAATTCGGCCCTATTTAGCAAAAGCAAATTACAATTATCATGACAGTAGATGGTTTATTTCTTATAAAATGACCGCGGCTTTTCATTTCACTATGATATTTAAGTAACGGAATCCTCGGGAGCATACGTTTTCCATTTACCCATACATATAGTTAATAGATGCAATTCTTGTTAGATGAACATTTGCGCTCGGAAAACCGATAAATCAACCATTTCAGTGACAATGGGTTGCTCTTTTTATGAAATGATAAACTGCTGACTAAAACCATCCATCAAGTTCGAAACGTCGATAATTTTACACTGCACCTATCTTCCATACTTCCATGGTTATATGATCTATGCATAGAATGCCCAATTTCAAGTTGTTTGTTTTTTAATATTTTTAGGGCGCCAAAACTGAAATTTGCCCCTTACCAATACAAATATGTATGAATTGCAGTTATAAAAAACTTCTTCTCTGTAGACCTGTTTTATTACATTACAACATGTGAATAAACTACACGAGCATTTCACTCGCAAACATGTGTTCAGTTATGTGCGATGCTAGACGTAAAGCGAACGTGTGTCCTGTACATGTCAGTGAAAGGGGTTATAAATGCATTTTAGTATAAATTCTCAAACAGAAGTTAATTATCCATATTAATGTGTTAAAATTTGATGAATTTTTCAGTGGCGCCAAAATACTTGTAAATTTGAAATAATTAAAGTTTCACTTCCTTCATATACATTGTTATTTTGTCATGTGGGAGAAATTCGTATTCTCAATTACATGAATATTAGTACATATGTGCAATACATCTCCACATAAATTAGTTATTAAAAATTAACAACTGTGTATAAAGAACCGAAAATTATGGCAGAAGTATGGAAAAAAAGATTAACTGGAAATAATTTTTTTTAGAAGTTTCATGAAATACAGAGAATTATTAATAAGGGGGAAAATATCAGATTTGAATAACGACATTTCTAGCAAGGCTTTATTTAAGAAAGCCACTGTCGTAAATAATTTTCCAAAAATACAAAATCCTTGTCTTTCAGACATCCGAAAAACGCTGGTTCAGCTGTTGGGGATGGCATTAAAATGTAAAAGAATCACATAATCTAAAACTGATTTCCTTTATAGGTGGAATGCATGAAGTTATTGCCTGTAAGTTCATGACAAGTGTAAACCATTTTGCTGAGGTCCACAGCATGCTTGGGATTAATGGTTCTCGATGGAAAGAAATGGATGAAGTTCTAAAGGTACCGATCCTTCGACATCAAACTCCAAACATTTTACAAACGTTGACTGTTGTCTCCCCTTCCTCCTTCTTTTACGCATCATGTCCGTTTAGATATACTTTCGCCTTCGTCATCTTCGTCTGTAAGCTATTTTCAGGTGGTGAAGTTAGACTAATTCATTGTTTCGCAAGACTTAAAGTGGATCTGCTTACTGAACAAACTATAAATTTGGTTTATTTTGCACCTGAGTAATTACCCGTCTGGCTATCTCAGATAGCCGTGATTTGTCGAATTTGTGTTGATACTGGGTGATGATTGAAGGTGAAGTGAAGGTCTGGGGAGTAGCATGATTCGAACCAGCAGCCACCTGGTTTCCGACCAAGAGCTATGCCAAGTGAGCTACGTGATTCGGCTACTGGCCAGATTTTAATTTAATTTCATTCCCCTAAGGCTTTACCGGACTATCACATGAACTCGTAACTCATTGCTAACGCTTGATCGTACTGACACTGGCTGTCTAGTCAGGACTTCCCATCCCAATCCAAATCTACTGTAACTGGAGGGGGAGGCAACATACCGACTATCAGTTTGACTATCTAAGATTCGGCAGACTTGTAATGATACTGTGGAGCCAGTACGAGTACGATTAAGCGACAGTAACGCGTCACTAATTCATATGGCAGCCCAGCGAAAGCCTCAGTGATTGTAGTGAAATGAAAATGTGGTCAGCAGGCGGATTTCGTAGCTCAGTTGCTACAGCACAGGTAACCGGTTTAAATCCTTCCATGTCCTACGCTTCATTTAACCTTTGGGCATGATGGGGTATCAACTAAATAATTCACAGCAGGCGAGAATCAGGATCATTTCATCACATCGAATAGCCCCATAGAACGAAGAATAGCAAAGAAAACCTTATTGTCAGTGGTCAAGCCCATTAAAGCTGAACAGTTGCTTTTATAAGTATTGGAAACAAACAAATCTATTATTACTTAATAGGGTTACGTGATAACTACAATATGAAGTGGTAAAATAAAATTACATTTCTAAAAACTAAAAGGGATCAGTACTCTGGTTATCATAAGACTAATTCAGATCCGTTATCTTTTTGAATACAAAGGTGAGGTTTCAGTCTGACAGCTTCCAGTTGTTGGGTTACATAAAGATGACTTATTCAAGGGGCTTTAGAATTTGGAGAAGGAACTCTATGAAATACGTTGAAATTACCATATATATATATATATATATATATATATATATATATATATATATATATATGTATAGAAAAAGAACCACATTTAGCCGGATGCATTGCCTATTGATACACATTTATCGTTTACAGTCCTTTCGTCACATGATGAGATGTAGAAGAACGATGACTGCTATCCAGTGTCTCGTGTGTTATTTGTATAAAACTCACATGAAAACATGTGTATAGCGAGTGAGGTTGGAATGAAACGATACTACAAACGGTCAAAAACGTTTGACAAGACCTCATTCGGTTAGAATTTAGCAGGGAAATTCATTCTAAAAAACGGCTAGCAGAAGTTAAATTCGAAGTAGATGTTTACCGTTGTAAGTATCGACAAAACAGCTGTTCTGAAAAAGTAGAATTAGAAATTTCTTCATACATACTCTAAATCGTATGGTTTCAACCATAAGTAAGTCAGGAATCCAAGAATAAAAATCATTAAGTGATTCATATTTTCTTTTCATCAGAAGCCAAACTTCAGATTTCGAATTGCTGTCAAGAATTTCTTGAACCTTTAAGTAAATAGTGCAGATACAGTTCAGTTCAGCTTGTCAGTAACTTGTCAGTAATAAAAATCATTTGCGGAGCCTTACCGATCGACATTATTATCCTTCAAGTTGCTGTTAAGGTAAAGGCATTTCATTTATCGTCACCAAAGGCGTGGGTCTTTTAGATGGTTGAAGGCCGTCAGCATGACGTTTTAAGCCTAAACTTCATGCTTTTTGGCACTTGTCAGGAAGATTTATCTGCAAGCATAAAGGAAAGTATGTCTCATTAGAGATCTGAACCCATAACACCTTGTATTACAGTCAGAGACGGTAATGATTAGTTTTTCAGATTACGATTGACATTTTGTAGAATTGGATCAGGTCTGTTGGTAAGTCACTGAAGAGTAAATAATTTCATAGTGTCCAGTCTTGAGTACTGACTGAATCTAATCTACCATTTTGCAGCTATCATGCATTCAGCGAAAAACCGTTCATGGTTAGGTCTAGTATTTCAGTTCTGCAAGTAAAACTTTCACTCATTAATTAGCGAACATGAAAAAATACTGCACATCATTTTCAAAGATTTTTTAAATGCAACTTGGTTTCTACGTTAATAAAATGCCCACTTTCTCAAATAATCTTAATGAAACTACCAGTGAGTGGATATACACTAACGAAATGTTAACAAATATTACGTGATTATCAAAATTCGAAGCCCACACTGAATGCCCCATATCTGAGTTATGACGTTTGAAACACGACACTTACCTGAAAGTATTTGCTCAGTCTTTATGCGAGAAAAAATCATCATGAAACCCGAATAGGTATTTATTTAGACCGGTGGTTCTTGGTTGTCACACCTTATCAAACATCTGGAATTTCTTTGTCTTTTAGACAACCCGTTGTTGACACACAGGATTAAATTTACCGGTCTTTTGAAATATGAGTTTAGAAGTATTGTTTGGAAGGTTGTCAAAGCACATGATGTTTTCATCTACTCACCGTGGTGCTACATAATTAGGTTTGGCATCAATGTATTTTTACAAAAAGCCCTTTTCAACAAGTGTTGATAAGTCCAGTATGATAAATCACCTGTGGTAGTAGTAACGAACTGATAAAATTTAATTTTGATGCTGTTTTAACGAAACAGTTGAAACGCTTTATACTTAAATTTTGAATTCGCGATTGTAATTTGTGGTTCACAGTTCACTGAAAAGAATGTAGTTAGTTATCAGAGTAATACAGAAGCGTCGCATTACATTTGCAGATGAAGATTAGTAACAGGTATTCTGAGTAGTTGTGGGGTATCCATAAAACCTTTTTCAATATTAACCATCAGCATTTTCCTCTGAAAACTCCATGTACCTTATACAACTTGCAAGTATGAATTAGTTTACTGAGGTCAACGAAAGTGACTTAGCAGTCTATGAAACTCGACTGTATCAGCTAGATATGTTCAATAACCGTATTAATCAAGTTACAATTAAATTACAAGTGGTCTGTACAATAACAACAGTCAGAGATACTTAAAATTTGTTGTGATGGTGGAACTTAGTTGGCTAATGTATATATGAGTGTACCTGACGTTTTTTAATGGCAAAAAATGTCACTAAGTCATCAGTGATCTCAGTCAAACTGCTAAAAAAACTCGCGTCCATATAGAAATGCCGGATAATGATTACCTTGTATTATTATTATTATTATTATTAGTCCCTTGGGTTCCTAGTGGAACATAGGGCTTCAGTAGCACGCCTCCAGTGACCTCTGTTCTCTGAGATCTTTTGAACCTGGTTCCACGACAGCCCACAGCCTCTCATTTCCTCCTCGCATGACCTCCTCCATGTCACCCTCGGACGTCCAACTCGTCGCTTCCCATGGGGATTCCACTCGAGGGCCTGCCTGACGCGTGATGTCCTCAGTCGGCCTTCTCAGTGCATGGCCAATCCATCTCCACTTCTTCCTGCATATTTGTTGCGTGATAGGTTCTTGGTTGGTTCGTTCCCAGAGTTCCTTGTTGCTTATTTTTTCTGGCCATCTGATCTTCAGCAGCGAGCGTAAGCAGTTGTTGATGAATGTCTGTAGTTTATTGGAAATGCCTTTCGTGACGCGCCAAGTCTCTGAGCCATACAAGAGCACTGACTTGACGTTGGTGTTGAAAATCCGTATCTTGTTCCGCATGCTGAGTGCAGAAGATCTCCACACTGGTTTCAGGCTAATGAACGCCTGTCTTGCTTTTCCGATTCTGACTTTGACGTCCTCGTCCGTCCCGCCTGTAGTTGAAACAGTGCTTCCTAGATAAGTGAAGGAGGTTACTTCCTTCAAGTTTCTCCCGTTGACGGTGATTGGAGTTTGTTGTTGTTGTTGATGGTGGTGGTGCGGTATCTTCATCACTTCTGTCTTCTCTATATTCACCTGAAGTCCCGTCTTAGCTGCCTCTTCTGTCAACTTGTTAGTTTTTGCCTGCAGATCTTCAA